AAGGGGTGAGACCAGTGGAGTATCTTAGATGGCTGCTCACAGGCTTTTAAGACCCCAGACGCTACTCACCAAGGTAGAATGTAGAACGTTGTCTTTGTTAACTGCCATTGAGATATTTTAATGAATGAATAAAGTATGTCCTAAATACAGTTTTGAGAAGGAAAGAGAAAAAAGGGAAGAAGTTCTATTTTTCATGAACATTGTTTCTTGATGAAGTCCATTGAAGAATGAACGTTCTGGTTCATCACCTCAGGAAGCCAAGAAGGTACACAAACTGCAAGGCTAATGTGGCCAGAGTCACATGTTTCAGTATGAAAATGGTTATGAGAGAATGAACGATGACAAAATGTAGGGGGAATAGTTTCATTTAGCAGCGAATGGCTTAGGAGTAAATAAGATGAAATAAGAAATTGTGAATTAAGAAAGCTGTATACCAGCATTGTGTTTTCTCCTGAGAAGACTAGGTGAGGCAAGGAGAGTTTACATGTGAGGGTCAGAGGGGATTGGGGTTTCATGGCACAGGTGAAAGTGGAAGTGACAAAGCTGAGAAATTCCGTTTAGAAAGTTAAGGGTACAATTATGAACGAGTATTATTTGTTAGTGCTGTGCTTATACAATGCCAGAATAACTGGTTCTCTTAATGAGAGGCAAATTGTTTGTTTGACCTTGTGTAAATATGAAATTTTTTATTCAACCAGTTGGTTGTGTTATACAAATATAGCTAAAAATTAATAAAAAGTAAGCCTTGATAGTTACATTGAATGTATAATATATATTCTTTTAGTTTAAAAATACATGTGTCTATATATGTGTTTATATACACATACATACATCTTTATATATAAAGATACATATATATCTTCACATATACATATATTACATGTATTTTACATACATATTTACGTGTACGTGTGTTTATGTGTATATATATTTATACCTCATATTGAAAAGAATCAAAATTTGAACCCTTCTTAAAGGTGGCAAAATTTAAAAATTATACTGTTTAAAACATTTTCAAAGTAATTTTGATTTCATAGTTTTGCCCATTTGGATGCCAGTTCACATGTTATATGGTTTATTTCTAAATCTGTGAATCAGACTTTTGGAAAAGGAAAGAAATAGGTAGAAATAGGACTTAGGAGTGTGTTTTGAGAGCCTACGAAGACTAAAATTAGCAACATGCTCTGCAAGTGGAGGGAACACAGATCTTCTGTTGTTATTTTTAAAGTGAGATTGTGTTGAATGTTAATGTGGAAGAATGAAGTCCATGTTCTAATGACCAATGAAGGACTTTGAGTGATTGTTACTAACACATACGAAAAACAAATAAAATTCAAAACTCTACAAAAGTATTAAGAGGTTTAGCTATAAAATAAAATCTAGCAGACTTAACATATCATTCACTAATCAGTTAGTCAGTTGTATATACAATAATTTATTAATTTATTTGAGTAGTAGTTATAGAACTTTCTTGGACATCATGAGCATAAGAGTCAACAAGAAGCTACTTCCTATGAGGTGGAGGTCAAATACACCCCCGTTCTCCAATTTCTCCACCATTTCTAACACCAGCCATTCTCCCCACGGCACTCTTCCTCTGTTGGGTTTGATAATTTATTGCAACAGTCACA